TTGAAAGATTTTTCAACAGAAAATTTTAATTCATGTTTTTAATGGCATATATACAAGCATTGTAGGTGGCATTGATTTTGGGGAACAACAATCATGTAATGATGCAAACACTTCTGAATATTTATTTTAAATGATTTTCTTCATAAGAACTTTCTTTTGAAAAGCAGTAAATTTTCTATTTTTGTACTACCCTCTTTATATGGGCAAACTCAGAGTGTTTATTTTTTCTAAAACATCAGGTAAATACTTCTTAGGAACTTAACTACAGAAAAGACCAGCAAATTTGCTATAATTATCTTTTTGTAAAATAAAATTGTATAACATCTTTGTATTTTACAACTTGTGAAGTGGTTTGCCATAATTTAACCAATGAAAGTAATAATAAAAGATATCATGGTCATTCTCATCTCACGTCAAAGTATTGTAAGTATAATATTGCATTTTAAAGGCTTTGTTTTTATAAAATTAACCACATTAAAGACTTTTATGTTTACCCTTTGATTTGTTATAGCAGCTTGCTTATGGATGAGTATGACTATGGCATTCTGTAATTTTAATCTGAAATCTGCATTTTGTTAAAAATAAGACAGAGATTGCATAATGCTTCGACTTACACATATTTCCGTAGAATCCTATTTTGATTTTAAAACTTATTTATTATTGAGAATATATTTTCTTTTGTACATCTTTCCTTTCCCGACTCTTTTTGGAGAAGCTTTAAACTACCTACAAAGTAAGATGTTAACAATAATAAGACAAGGCCTCTATCTGATAAACACCAGAAGAGTGAACTGGTAGAGACTTTTAATACTGCAAGAGAAGAATTTAAGTTTATTATCGATTGAGGCTTCTCAGAGAAAAGTGGGTCTGAAAAGATTGGAAAGGATTGAGATAGGTTAACAGGAAGGTTTAGATAGGTTTATAGGAAGTTGGAGGAGAAAAGAGCATAATATGAGAAGAAGCATAACAAGAAAGTGCAAGATGAGTTTGAGAGACATGGAAGAGACCCAACTAGAGAAAAGACTTCATGATATGTAAGTCCAGAGGTCATGAAGTTGGAGCATTAAGACTTTCATCCTGTGATAAGCTAGTGAAGGGTTCAGATCAAGTATGCAGAATAGCCAGCACACCAAGCTGCAGCTTCACAGACATGTTCTAGTGGCCAACTAGAGTTCAGCAGAGTGGGAACAAGTTCAGGGAAGAAAAATCTTCTAAAATAAAACAGTAAGCCCATACCACATGGATTCCAAAGGAAGAGTGAGGGAAGGAGTTGTGTTTGGTCTTTACCTTTGGCAATGACATAAGATTGAACAGAAGTTTTTGAGGGAATTGGATGGGGTGGGCAAAAGTAGGTTTACAGTTGTGAGCTCATGAAACAGTTTACTCTTGTATTATTTATGAATTGTCTTTTTCTATACAAGCAACTTTTGCCCACCCCTGTATTTAGCATAGTGCAGTGGAATCAATGACAGCAGGCAGATGACTTAGTAAAGGGTTATGTTTTACAGGTCCAAATCTTTAAGTAAACATTCTTTAAAAGCCCTACAATATGTATATATACTCTAGGATAGATGAGTTGTGAATTCTTCAGTGATTTCAGTGCTTCCTTTTTTATTTTGAAGACTTTTAGATTGAAGATCATCCAAAAAAGCCACCATACTATTTAAGATAGCAGGAGCCAAAAGATACTTACAAACTTTTTTGTTCTCTTTCATACTGTACCTTTCTAAATAGAAAAAATGAAATGTTTATTTAATCTTTATTTCCTATCCCAACCTATTTCTAATAGAAGTGGTCTCCAAAATATGGTGCACTTGACTTAAGAAGTGCACACAGCCCGGCCAGTGTGGCTCAGTGGTTGAGCATTGAGCCACACACCAAGAGGTCACCGGTTCAATTCCGGGTCAGGGCACATGCCCAGGTTGTGGGTCAAATCCCCAGTGGGGGACAAGTAGGAGGCGGCCAATTGATGTTCCCTCTTATCGATGTTTCTCTCTCTCTCTCTCTCTCTCTCTCTCAAATCAATAAAGGAAAAACAAATTTTTTTCCTAAAAAGAGTGCATACACACACAAAACAAAACTCCTATTTATAGTTTTTATTTTACAAAAATGAACTTAAGCTAATTTCCTAATTTTTAATGGAAGGATTGATGGGAATACAAATATATAATTGATAGTATGGCTATTTATGAAAGAACATACTAACTGTAGGAGGTGCAATCAAAAAGTGTGCCAAAATTGACGGTAGGGTAAGGGTTGTTAGATTTACAGATGGATCATCAGGGCTTTCCTCTAGAAATTTTGATTTAGTACTTTTCAAATGGGTCCTGTGAGTCTGTTATTTAACAAAGTTTTCAAGTGTTTCTTATTTTCAGCCAAGTTTAGGAAATTTGTGGTAGACCTATCTTACCATATCTTGACTTCAGCTCAAGTCCATTTTGAGGTCCCAAAGTGTTAGTGGCTGTATGATCAGTGCTTCACTTACCCAAACACAGCCAGAAAGGTGGGTTGTCCAAGGGCTCAGCAGCAGAGCTACAGCTCACCAGTCATTCAGGGACTAGCATCCAGCTCACCTTGTCTCTTGTGCTTTGATTGGACCAAAAGCCAGCTTGAATTTTAGGGGTACCAATATGTGTGTCTTGTGTAATTTAGGATTTTGTTTACCTTGAGGTTTGAAAACGATTGCTTTTCATCATGAAGCTGTCACCACAGATCGTTACTATGTTCCATCTGTTAAAAGAAGCATAGCTGACCAATAACTTTATATGTTATTTTTCTAATGCTATAACATGCTGACACATGGAAATGTAGAATTAACTTTATGCTGAGGCAATTGGCTGTCCTAAAATAAAATATTCAAAATGTTAAAAAATACTAGAGGAAATAATAGCTAGCATTTATTAAGTGCTTACTATATGTCAGGCACTGTACCAAGCACTTTTCAATACTGCTTATTATTTAATCCTCACAACAATCCTACGAAGGTGGTGTTTTTAGTATTCTTTTTGCAGAAGAGTTAATTGAAGGAGCACAGAGAGGTTAAGTAACTTGCCCATTGTTTATAGGATTTTGTTTGCTTGCCTGCTTGCTCATTTTAATTTGGGAATGTCCTAAATGACTTTTAGATACTTGTTTTCATGTTTTGAGTTAAGGATCCTTTGACTAAATGATTATTTATTTTGAAATTTGATTTATTCTGTTGCCTCATTCTCTTTTAAAACAAAACCTCTTGTATATTTTAACAGGGAATGTGAAGTGGCATGTAGATATCACTTTGGAACATTCAAATGAATGAAAGAACATCATTTATTATTATTATTATTATTTTTATCCTCACCTGAGGACATTTTTCCATTTTTTGTTCAGACAGAGTGGGAGGGAGAGAGGAAGAGAGAGAGAGAGAAACATCGACGTGAAAGGGACACATCGAGTGGCTGCCACCCGCATGACCCAACCAGGGCCTGGGAAAAACTGCAACCGAGGTATATGCCCTTAGTGGGAACCGAACCCGGGTATCTCTGGACCGCAGGCCAACGCTCTAACCGCTGAGCAAAACCGGCCAGGGCAAGAACATGATTTAATAAAAGCAAAGTGTTTATTGTCACTTTGAGTATGTAGCCCTGTTGATTTATCCAGTAAGTTATATTTGTGACTATACATACAGGGTGGGCAAAAGTAGATTTATAGTTGTAATACAAATAAATACAATAATTAATAATAATACAAGAATAAACTCTGCGTTTTGCATTCTTACAACTGTAAACCTATTGCCAACCCCTGTATATTTTATCCTGAAGCTTTGATTTACAACTGTTATTACTTTTCTAATGCCTGAGGGATTTTTATTTTTATTTACTTTGTTTAAGCACAAAAATTCTAGCAATCATTTGTTTTAATTTATGTGCAATTTATTCAAATTTTTAACATTGCCAGTTTTAATATCTAGTGTTTTCTTATGGCTTTAAACTCAATTTAGGCATTAAAAAAATAAATGTATTAACTTCACTAGGCCTTCCGTTAATCTTTTTAAATTACCAAATTAAATTCCCTGAAACATTTTAAAACACAACACTGAATAAAGTATATAATGAATCAGAAAGCATAATCAAACAGTGAAATCTTATAAATCTAAATCTAATAAATCAAATTTATAAATTCAGTAAACCAAGTTCTCCTGAATCTTAAATATTGCTTACAAACTTAACTTCTGTTACATAATTCATATTATAATCACAAGTCTAAGATATCAGACTCTAAAAACATTTCAATTATCTTTAAAAAAACAATATGCATAGACAAATTATCAGCTAATGCCCAACTTATCAATACATTTTAATCTTACACCTAATACAAAGTCTTCATACTGTAGGTTGGATTCTTTCCTTCAGCCTGTCATTTCTTTGTCCAAGACTACAAATGTACTTACACCACAAAGTGAGATAGAGTTTTCATCTTTCAGTCTTCTACCACTAAGACTACATTTGGGATTGGGCAGGGGCACCTATGTCTACTTGTCAACCAGAGTCTGCATTGGATCCCTCTAGCCCTTTCTTATTGTCAGGCTTTTGCTTGCCCTTGTTAGCAGAAACCTTATGAGCCCCTCCATAAATTTAAGTGAGCATTTAAATTTTACATTTTTGCAACCTGGTTCTTTTCCTAGAAATGATGCATCCTGTAAGATTTTCCCTTAGGATTTTGCAACCTGGTGCTTTTCCTAGAAATGATGCATCCCTTAAGTTTTTTCCTTAGGTTACACTTTATCCCTATTATAATGGGATTTACTAAGTCCAGTTATGTACAAACTGTGTAACCTTTGGCATTAAAGTCGATTTGTGTACTAATGGGGTTTTGACGCCCTACATAGGTTACTTAGCAACCCTTTCTCTTTTATAATTTAATAGCTGCCTCATTGGCCATCACTCACTTTATTGACAATGATAATCAAGTTTAGTTTTTAACCCCTTTAAATTCACAAAGCCAAAATGATTTTTCTCTCCTAGGAATGCCAGAATCACCTCCGCAGATATGGAAATGTGAATCTGGAACTGGTGACTCGAATCATTAGAGATGGTGGCCCATGGGAAGATCCAGTGTTGCAAGCTGTTCTTAAAGCCCAGCCAGCATCTCAGGAGATAGGTACTTCAGGAGACTCAAAATCAAAACCAACATTTGTGAGAAGCAAACATAATTTCATTTTCTAACTAGAGCAGTAATAGTGATTTTTATTTTATTTTCTAATATTGAGTAAGAGTTATGTATTTTTACATGAAGTATGTTTAATTTGTTGTACTAACCCGCCCTAAGAGTGATTTTTAAAATATGTTTTTATTGATTTTTAGAGAGAGAGAAAGGGAGGGGGAGAGAGAAACATCAATGGGAGAGACACATCGATTGGCTGCCTCCTGCACATCCCCAATGGGGATCAAGCCTGCAACACTGGCATGTGCCCCAACTGGGAATTGAACTGACGATCTCCTGGTCCATGGGTCGACGCTCAACCACTGAATCACACTGGCTGGGCAAGAGTGATTTTTGACACTAGACTTAGGTACATTTATTTCTGGTAATTTCCCATTCTAATGGGAATTCAGAGTGTTAACACATTTACTGTCAAGTTGGTACAGAGTTCATTTGCTTTTGTCACTTCAGTTATATTTTAAATATCTATTTAAGTAGGCACACCTTTTTAGAACAAAACAAAACACCCTGCTTAGGTACATGAAATCTCCCTTATACAGAAGGAGATGTGAGGGCTGTAACTCATCCAATTTTTGTCACCACTACTGTATATCTACACTTCGCCCAGTGCTTGGTGCAGATTAGGTGCTCAATATAAATATGTGTTGATTGAATGAGTGACCACATGATGACTGTGAAAGTGACTGAGTGACTAACTGAATAAGTAAATTTCAATTCCAAATACTGTAGAGCAGTATTTTCCAAACTTCATCCACTAATAGAAATGAAAATTTCTCATCCTCTTACCACCTGCATACTTCTTTGACATCTCTTCCTCTTAAATCTAACAATGCACATTGGTTCCTGTGGGCCAAAATTTTATTTTGAGGAAGGAGGCTCTGTCAACTGCTTCTAGTTAATCCTTTAAAAAATATTTGCCATATTATTCCCTGAGCCACAGAACATTTTTGATCACCAAAGCTTAGACTGTAGAGCTGAGTAATAGTGAATAAATACAAAACTGGAAAACATTTGAAAGCATGGAGAAAACCTATAGAGTGTAGTTATAAGATAGCTAAGGGGAAAAGAGAAGAACCCCCAGCTCTGGAACCATTCAGACCTTGGTCTGGTGAGAAAGACACTTCACACCACAGATTGTGCTGAACGGGTTAGGATCTTTCTATTTGTCCCAGGTTACGGGGTGGGAGTGAGTTGTAAGTAGAGTTGAGTGGAGAAGAAGCTGTGGTTCTTGGGCTTAAGAGCAAGCCAACCGCAGATCCAAGTGTGGAGGCCTACAACAGAGATGTGAGAGAAGATGAAGAGATAAGGCCAGCAGAAGCAGTGCGAAGTGGTGAGATGAGATGGGAGGTGGGACAAAACTAGGAGGAAAAGGCTGAGGTATATTATGTGACAGTGGTATAGTGGTATATACTCAAGGGTTACAAAGGAGACTGGAACCTGATGTGAGGGTCTGGGGAAGGAATAAAAGGAACGAAGAGAGAGGCAGCTGGATTGAGGAGGAAGAGTTGGATTATTGAGGAAAGGTATGAAGAGTCAAATATAGGTAACACAAGGGTGACAGACAAGGAAACTGAGGAGACTGGGGAATGAGGCCAGCGGGGACAGGAGGTAGACAAGACAGAGCTTCAAATGGAGTGAAACTGGAAAAGAAAGTTTGGCTTTTTAGGAGAGCTCTTAGGCTTCTCTGAGTAGGAGTTAGAACAAACATACTGTGGGTTGCTGTGAGGGTTGATGGCCTTGATATATGTATATATAGTTCTTCATACATAGTCCTCTCATACTTACATTGACATGCCTCACTCTGGGAAAAGCTTCTCTAGAGCCTTATTAATATGGACAACTCTTCTCTAGTTGGTGTTCATTATGGTAAAGACTAGTCTGAAGTCTTTGAATTAACTATACAAATCAGTGTCTGCTTATTTATATATTGAAAACAATTCCAAGGCAAATGTAGAAGCCCAAATAAAACATCACTCATAAGCATTTTAGAAGCTAATGTTTAAACATATATAACTAATTTAAATACTTTGAGTCCAAAATCATGAAATATGGGTTCCAGTTCTTGCTTTGTCACTTAATTTTTGTCCTTGGGCAAGTCATTTGACCTCTCTGAGACTCGGTTTTGTGATCTGTGAAACAAATACTATGACACCTGTCATAAGGTTGTTGCTAGGTCTAAATAAACTTAGTGGATAAAGATTTAGTATATTTTTTAATTTCTGTAAAAGCAAGTATATTAGTAATTACTCTTAGTGATACATGAACACATATTAATAAGCAGTCCTTTTATCTTAATCTTTTGTTGAAAAGTAATAAAATATATTTCTTTTATGACTTAACTTTTTCATTAATTCTGATTTACTTCTCTATAATTAATCAGAATTAATGTGGTTTTATTGATACATTAGGATTCAGCCTTTTCATCTTAACAGTAATGAAAATATTGAGCACTAAGAAGATCAAGTACATAATCTTAGTAGAAATTTCAGACCCCATATTATTGAAACATATTTTGACATAGAGTGAGGTTTGTTTTTTACTTTCAACAGATATTTTTGAGCACTGTTTTCTTGTGACCTTTATTTCAATTTTTCCAATCACATAATTTTATATTCTTTTCACAAATAAATTCCTACTAAAAATGCTATTTAATTAAATAACTCTAATTAGGTCCACATGTTAGTGATAAAGTTTACAACACAATCAAGAGTTTGAGAGAATCTTTTCTTGAGAGTAATACGAGTCTGTTCTCTTTTTAATATAGTGAACAAATACTTAAGTTCTGAAAATCCACTATTCTTTGAACTACGTGCCAGATACCTAATTGCTTGTGAACGCATACCTGAAGCAATGGCTCTTATTAAATCTTGTGTAAATCATCCAGAAATCAGCAAAGACTTATATTTCCATCAAGCACTCTTCACATGTCTGTTTATGTCACCTGTAGAAGATCAGCTATTCCGGGAGGTATTGTTTAAGATTTTGTTTGCTTATCATCATTTTAACCTTACAATTAAAAAAAAAATGTAGCCCATTCTTGTTAAATTCTTTTTCACAGTAATGCCAAAGGTTTTCAGATTACATTATCTGGATGTTTTCTCTTTGGCACCATTCTTTAAGCTCATGTTGAATTAGACAAACTCTGATATTAACAAAACATTCATTAATAAGCATTGTTTTATTTATTTATTTATTTAGTTAGTTAGTTTTTAAATCCTCACCTGAGAATATATTTATCGATTTGACAGAGAGAGGAAGGAAGAGAGAGAAAAACATAGATCAGTTGCCTCACATTCATGCCCTGACCAGGGATTGAACCTGATACCTAGGTATGTGCCCTGTCCGGGAATCGAACTTGTGACCTTTTGGTGTACAGGACAATGCTTCAACCAACCAAGCCACCCAGCCAAGGCAATAAGCATTATTTATGTTGAGTTTCTGGTGTGACAGAGGTCAAATAAAAACTGAGAAGCATTATGACTTTTCCTTTTAAATAAAATATTAAAAATTAAACTTTCATGTTTGTTAATTTTTTTTCAAGATGAAGAATCTTTTCCTAATATGGACTCTACTTACCTTCAAGTCATAGACATTAATGAGATTAAAATGAGTCACTGTAAACTGTTTGTGCTATATAGTAAAACTACGAAACCATGAGAATTTTTCTATTCAATTCATTGTCTTTGTAGAAGAAAATTAGAAATCTAATTTTTTCTGGATTTTTACACATTTATTGCAACTAGCTTTTCAGATATTTTGATGTGAACTGATTTTTCTTTTCCTGTTACAGCATTTATTGAAAACTGATTGTAAGAGTGGAATTGATATCATCTGTAACACTGAAAAAGAAGGCAAGACTATGTTAGCCTTACAACTCTGTGAATCTTTTCTTATTCCACAGCTCCAGAATGGGGATATGTATTATATCTGGTAAGTGTTCCTAATATAGAAATTGAAATAAGATTGGAAACTGAATAATTGGTTAGCAGAGTTTGGACTTTATATTTTCTAAAAAGTTATGTGAACATGTTAAGCAAGAAGCATTTGTAAGACCTAAAGATTAAAAAAGGAAATGATCATGTCCCAGTACTTGATACCATAAATACTTAAGGTATGTGTTATAATGAAACAATTATGTTTTAAATTAAATTTGGAGGTTGTTTTTTTTTTTTTTTTTAAACTACTTAATTTTTTAGAGCAGTTTTATGTTTTCAGTAAAATTGAGAGGGAGGCACAGACATTTTCCATATACCTCCTGTTCTCACACATATGTATCAATATCACTCACCAGAATGGTACATTTTTTACCATGGATGAACCTACACTGACTAATCATAATCACCCAAAGTTCACAGTTCACCTTATCATTCACTCCTGGTGTTATATATTCAGTGGATTTGGACACATATATAATGACATATCCAATGTTATAGTATCATATAGAGTATTTTCACTGTCCTAAAAATCCTCTGTCCTCCACCTATTCATCTTTTCCTCTGACCCCCACCTCTAGAAAGCACTGATCTTTTTCTATCTTCATAGTTTTGCCTTTTCAGAATATCAGAGTTGGAATCATACAAAGTGTAGCCTTCTCAGAATGGCTTCTTTCACTTAGTCCTATACATTTAAGTCTCCTTCATGTCTTTTCATAGCTTGATAGCTCATTAGTGCTAAATAATATTTACTTGTTTGGATGTACCACAGTTTGTTTATCCATTCACATACTGAAGGACATCTTGGTTATTTCCAAGTTTTGGCAATCATGAATAAAGCTGCTATAAATATGTGTGCAGGTTTTTATGTGGACATGTTTTCAACTCCTTTGGGTCAATACCAAGGAGCATGATTGCTGGAACTTATGGTTAAGAGTATGTTTAGTTTTGTAGGACACTACCAAACTGTCTTCCAAAATGGCTGTACCATTTCTTATTCCCACCAGCAACGTATAATAATTCCTGTTGCTCATCCTCACCAGCATTTGTTGTCAGGGTTCCAAATTTTGGCCCTGCTAATAGGTGTGTAGTGGTGTCTTGTTGTTTTAATTTGCATTTCCCTGATGACATAGGATGTGGAGCATCTTTTCATATGCTTTCTTGCCATATGTATATCTTCTTTGTTAAGGTTTTTAGCCTATTTTTTCAACCAAGATGCTTGTTTTCTTATTGCTGAGTTTTAAGAGTTCTTTGTATTTTGTGGATAATGGTCATTTATCAGATGTCTTCTTTTTTTTAAATGTTTTATTGATTTTGTAGAGAGAGATAGAAACAGTATAAGAGAAACACCAATTGGCTGACTCCTGCATGCTTTCCATTGGGGATGGAGCCCGCAACCCACGCATGTGCCCTGACTGAGAATCTAACCAGGACCCCTCAGTCCATGGGGCGACGCTCAGTCCACTGAGCCACACTGGCCAGGCTTATCAGATGTTTTTTATAAATATTTTCTCCTAGTCTGTGGCTTGTCTTTTAATTTTCTTGATACTGTCTTTTACACAGCAGAGATTTTTAATTTTATTGAAGTGTAACTTATCAGTTATTTCTTTCATGGATCATATCTTTGGTGTTATGTCTAAAAAGGCATCACCATTCCCAAAGTGATCTAGGTATTCTCCTATGTTATATTCTATAAGTTTTATAATTTTGTATTTTATGTTTAGGTCTGTGGTTCATTGTGAGTTACTTTTCATGAAAGTAATAAGGTCTGTGTCTAGATTTATTTTTTTGCATGTGGGTGTCCAGTTATTCCAGCATTATTTGTTGAAGAGACTGTCTTTGCTCCATTTTATTGCGTTTGTTCCTTTGTCAAAGATCAGTTGGCTGTATTTATGTAGGTCTATGTCTGGGCTCTCTATTCTGTTCCATTGATCTATTTTCTTTTTCTTTAACATTACAACAGTGTCCTCATTACTTTAGCTTTATAATAAGACTTTAAGTAGATCAGTCCTCTAACTTTGTTCTTCTTCAGTATTGTTTTGGTTATTGTGGATCTTTTGCTTCTCCATATAAACTTCAAAATCAGTTTGTCAATATCCATAAAATGACCTGCTGGGATTTTGATTGGGATTACATTAAATCTGTAGATCAAGTTGGGAAGAACTGACATCTTGACAATATTTTGTCTTTCTATTCTGGAAAACATCTCTTTCTTTCTTTAGTTCTTTGATTTCATTCATCTAAGTTTTGTAGTTTTCCTCCTATAAATCTTGTACACATTTGTTAAATTTATATCTATGTATTTAGTTCCTTAGGTGCCTCTGTAAATGATATTGTGTATTAGTGTTTTTAAACATTTGTAAGAATTACTTAAAAATTATTGGTAGTATATATGAAGCATCAAGTTTACCTATCATATAATTTAGAATGTGGTATGAGAGTGTTTTTAGTTCTTACCCTTAGTGTGCTTATAGGTGAAACCATGAATAATATTTATAAAAGATTCTAATAACTCTGGCCTTTCTTCCCCAACACACACACACACACACACACACACACTCACACACTTTACCACTTTGACATTTCATTAACTTTGAAGGGAAAATTAGGTTTCATTTGCTGAATATAATAAACTATGAGCTATAAACATTTTTATCAGTGCTTTTGAATTTTAAACATTTAAAACAATAGCTCAAAGGGGGATTTAAAACTAAACTCTTAATATTATTGTTTTAAAATTTTTAGACTAAGAGATAGAGTCAAATATGTAATTAGTAACAGAGCTGGGTCTAGAAACTAGTGGATTTATCTTCTAGGAGAGTATGCTTTTAGTTAGATTATATAAGTTTTTATTCAGAAGTTCACCCGGTGGGTCAGAATTTCAAACAGACAAGGGGATCAGGAGGCAGTAGTAAGACATACAATACACTTAAGTATTATCATTTCTTGATAAGTAGTTATTTCAAAATAAAATATAGTCATGTCTATTATAGTTTATCTTTTCATATGGGGATAGGAATGTTCTCTGCCCTTGGCTGTATTAAACTGTCTACATAGGATATCTTTGGTCTTTTCATTTTTATATACTCTTAAGTAAATTGGAATTATGTAAACAACAACAGAGGAAAACATTTTACTTCTTTTCTTGGCTAACCAATTTTTGTTCTTTAAGGAGGGTCCTTAAAAATATAACAGTGCCTATCTTTCCCATTCCTGGCCACAGTTAGCCTCCAAGAATAAAACTGAGTAATGCAACTCCCATTTGCCTAACTGGAAAGGACTCATTAGCCTTCTTCTTTGTCCTTCCTTCTAAGTAGGCTGAATTCTGATGGACTGCCCTCTTACTTTGTCTACCTCTCCTCTATATTTCTTAATGCTGAGATCCTTTTTTCTTTTAAAAGTTTATTTTCATTGTAACCTGAAGAGCAGGATTCTTTCCAGCCTACAGAGTCTATTGCCTATTTCATCTTGAGATTCCCTGTGAACGAGCTTACCCTTTATCTCCCCTCTTTAAGGACAGAACCTGATCCACAGTCCAGTTTTGTTCTATCTCAAGCTAGTGCATTAAGCTACTAACTGTGTTTCTCTTACCAACTAATAACTAAATAATAATATAGTAATAGCAGCTGCTAATAGTTGCTGAGTGCTTCCTATAGTCTTTGTTGTATATGTGAATTATCTCATTTATCCCAACACTTTTATGGGGTAAATAATATTATACCCACTAGTATAACTAGTATTATCAACCATTAGATAATAAAGCCAAGACTCAGACCCAGGTAGCCTGACTCACATCCTCTGTTTTTAAATATTACTTACTATAAGTGAGTCAAGTATAAAAAAAAAAATCAATGTTGTAAGAGCGATTGTAGAACTTCTTATAGCCCTCAACTACATAACTTGATAATTTTATTAGTACTTGCTACCTGGTAAATGTGTTTATGCAATAAATTGGTGCTGTGTTTGAAAAGAAAATGTATGCTACATTAAAACATTCCCTTTGGTCTTCACAAAGAGGACTGTTAGTGATTTTTAGTGTGTTTGGTTTTTTGTTCCTGTTTTCCTTCAAAACCCAGTGTACATGTAAAATCTGAGAATCCTTTAATTTTTTTTCCAATTTATTTATTTATTTATTTTCCCTTTAATTAATTTATTTGTTGCAGATGTTTCTTTTTTTTTACCCCCATTGACACCTTCCTTCTGTTCCTGCCCTGCCCAACCCCCACATTGTTGTCTGTGTTCATTAGTTATGCATATAAGTTCTTTGGTTTATCTCCTCCCACCCACCTCCTCTGAAGTTTGCCAGTCTGAACCCTACTTCTATGTCTTTGGGTCTGTTTTGTTTATTAGCTTGTTTTGTTCATTATATTTCACAAATAAGTGAGATCATGTGATACTTGTCTTTCTCTGACTGGTTTATTACCCTTAGCGTAATACTCTCCAGGTCCCTCCATGTCATCTGAAAGGATAAGAGATCTTTCTTACAGCTGCATAGTGTATATGTACCACAGCTTTTTTATCCATTCGTCTACTGATGGACACTTGGGCTGTTTCCATATCTTAGCAATTGTAAATAGTGCTATGAACATTGGGGTGCATATATTCTTTCTGGTTGGTGTTTCATGCTTCTTAGGATATATTCCTAGAAGTGGGATCACTGGGTCAAATGGCAATTCAATTTTTAAGTCTTTGAGAAAACACGATACTGTTTTTCATAGTGGCTACACCAATCTATATTCCCATCAGCAGTGTACTAGATTCCCCTTTTCTTCACACCCTTGCCAGCACTTGTTGTTTGATGATTTATTGATGGCAGCCATTCTGGCAGGTGTGAGGTGTGACACCTCATAGTCGTTTTAATTTGCATCTCTCTGATGATCAATGACATTGAGCATTTTTTCCTATGTCTCTTGGCCATTTGTATGTCCTGTTTGGAGAGGTGTCTATTTAGGTCCTCTGCCCATTCCCCCTCCCCCCTTTATTGATTTTAGAGAGAGAGGAAAAGAGAGGGAGAGAGAGATAGAAACATTGATGAGAGAGGACATCGATTGGCTGTCCCCTGCATGCCAACCCACTGGGGATTGGGCCCATAACGTGGGCATGTGCTGTGACCTGGAATTGAACTGGCAACCTCTTGGTGCATGGGTTGATGCTCAACCACTGAGCCACACTGGCCAGGCTGTCCATTGTTAAATTGGATTCCTTGTCTTCCTTTTGTTGAGTTATATGACTACTCTGTCTGTTTTGGAGATTAACCCCTTATCTGATGTATCGTTGGCAGTTATGCTGTCCCATATAGTGGGAACCCTTTCCATTTTAGTGCTTGTTTCTTTTGCTGTGCAGAAGCTTTTTAGTTTGATGTAGTCCCAGGTATTAATTTTTTCCTTTGTTTCTCTTGCCTTAGATGTATCAGTGAAAATTCTGCTGTGTGTGATGTCTAAAATTTTGTTGTCTACTTTTTCTTCTAGGACTTTCATGGATTCATGCGTCACATTTAAGTCTTATACGCATTTTGAGTTTTTTCCTGTGCATGGGTGTAAATTGGTAGTCTAGCTTCAGTTTTTTACAAGTAGCTGTCTAATTTTCCCAACACCATTTATTAAAGAGGCTCTCTTGACTCCATTGTATGCTCTTGCCACCTTTGTCAAATATTAATTGAACATGATGTCTTGGATCCATTTCTGGGTTCTCTGTTCTGTTCCATTGATCTATATGCCTGTTCTTGTGATAGTACCAGGCTATTTTGATTATGATAGCTTTGTAGTATAACCTGATATCCGGTATTGTGATCCCTGCTACTTTGTTCTTTTTCAAGATTGCTGTGGCCATTTGGGGTCTTTTTTGGTTCCATATAAACATTTGTAGTATTTGTTCTAGTTCTGTGAATTATGTCGTTGGTATTTTAATGGGGATTGCACTGACTCTATAGATTGCTTTGGGTAATATGGACATTTTAATGATTTTAATTCTTCCAATCAATGAAGAAGGTATACTGAGAATCCTTTATAAATTCAGTCAGGATGGAGCTTCATAACCATATCCTGGTATTTGGGCTTTGCCTTCCAGAAAGCTAAATTCTATATTGGTGGCCTCTCCTGGCAAATTTTTTAAGATCTTGCTATTACATTTTGTTTACCAAGTTTCCTTTTGTGTTAACAGAAACAGAGAAGATCTCTCTCTTTAGAAAAGAGAAAGAAAAAAAAAATTATACCTTGAGAATGTCTCTAAGGATTCTCAAATTATTTTTTGGAATAAGTTGGAGAATAAATATATACATTTCTATAATGTTAAACGTTCTACCATCATCTTTTATCTCATTCCATGTCTACATTTCCTGTTAATATATTTCCTCAAGAGGCTTCCTCTAAATATCTTTAACATTTAGGAATACAATTTTTTGAGATTACTAACAAATATTTATTGAACAAATCTCATTGCTTGGTATTACTAAAATTATAAGGACAAGAAAAGAATATAGGAAACTAGTAATTTATTAAACATCAATATATACCAGATATTCTACCTAGGTGTTTTCACTTACCTCAGTAGTTTTTACGTATAAGAAAGCTGTATAAAAGAGATAAAAGTAGCACAACTATTAACAAAATGAGGTTGAAATTAAACTAGTCAATCTGCAAATGATGGCATCCTATGTAGAACTAGTTTAGGTAAAATGTAGTATAGCATACCTCAAAGATACTGCAGCTTTAGTTCTAGCCACCATAATAAAGCAACTATCGCAATAAAGGACATCATAATCTTTCACTTGTGGAAGGCCTTCAGGTTACAAAAAAAAACCCACAATATTTTTGAATTGCAATGAAGCAAAATGTAAAGAAAATGAGGTATGCCTGTATTTATTGGAAAGATACTGGGGTATGACCTAAACCACAAAAAGGACCAGGGATATAGTTGGTCCTCAAAAGAGAAGTGGTACCATGGACATTGAAATAGCCAGGGTTTTTAAAAAATTTCTCTTATTTCAGACCAGAAGAAATGCCAACAGTCCCCATGCTTCATAGTTTAGAGTTGAGAACATTCTAGAGTTGAAACTGACTAGGGTCAGTTTTCTATTTCTGAATTAATATCTTAAGGAGGGTGAGGAGGGTCACATAAAAGACATGGCCACTAGGGTGCAATCTTGTGTGTTAGGGTTGTTGCCAGAAAAAGGTGGCTCACTGTAAACTGGGTAATGCCATGCCAGGTTGCATATAATGCCCTACTGATATTAGGTCTCTCTTATTCCCAAACTCATGTTTTTGCCACTACTTCTATAAAATGTATCACTGAGGAGATTTATAATGTATTAATAGTTGAGGAAATAGGACCTACAAATATAAGCAAGTAAATATATGAAAGGCATGAAATCTATAAGAGGAATAAGATCTGTTCTGAAGTAATTATCACTTTCATTTGGGATATTCATGAAGGCTTTCCTGAAGAGGCACTTGATACAGATGTTGAAATACAAACTCAGTTTAGAAATAAAGAAATACTTTCCAAGTAGAGCATTCAACACAAACAAAAGTAAGAATAAATGAAGCAAATGAACTGTGACGAGACCAACCTCGAAGAGTGCCCAGGATTCAAATCCTAATGCTTCTGATTTTAAAACCCATGGTTTTTTGTTTGTTTGTTTTTAATTAATCATTTTATTTCAGAATACTACTCTCATCCCCTATGCCTAAGACACTTTCTAAATAAATACCTCTATGATTTCACATTTTTATTATTGTTCTTACTACTCTTTCCATTGCATTGATCTTCCTTCACTGTCTATCTGAATAGTCAAAACCCATGTTTCCATTGCTTTTGACACTAAACAGCATATAGAATAAGTGCTTAATAAAAAGATCTGGAAGGTGGAAACGGATCCGTTTAGCAGCCCCGTAGAAGTACATGTGTACAGTTAAAGGGCCTAAGGTGATAGCATTGAGAAAGAATGGTATGACTGAGGAAAAATATAATCAAAATGTAAAGACTGAAAAATAAACAGGTTAGAGGGATGTTTAGTGTGACTGACTGATCTAGGAAAAGATCAATATTTTGCAGGACTAACAGGGTTAAGATGATAGAAAGCAATCTTAAATGAAATATACTCAGACATGGAAATTGGTAAAGAAATCAGAGCTAGAGATTTGGGAACAAGGTGTGGAACCTAGTGAGCTTTCAAAGGACTACATGTGCAAAAAAAAAAAGGTTGTTTTGTGGACTAGAACTTATGAACACCCACACAGGTAGTTTGAAGTAGAGGTGGAATTTTGGTTTTACTGATAGTATTTGCTTGCCATCATTTTCTGTTTTTCATTTTCTGTATTGTCTTTCTAAGTAGACTATGCACACCTTCATGATAATAGTCAAGCTGTCCTTAGATTTAATAGTTGTATGTGTTGGGCTCAGAGTACATAGTTAGTAAGTCACTTTTTGAAAAAAAAACATTTTCATCAATTATTTTAATACTTTTTAGATTATGATGCTTTATGTAACTTTAATGATATATTTAAAGAATTCTAATTTGCTAAAATGTGATATCCAGATATATCAATTATTTTTATGATTTCCTTTACCTCAAAACCCACTAGTTCATCTGATAACCTTGTTCATATAATAACCTTGGCCATATGTTAGAAAAGAATCTACCTATGAAACACTTGAAATGGTCTATAGTTTGTCCATATTGAAACTATTATATCTTAATGGAAGAGCAGATAATCTAAAACATTTCTAAATTAGTACTAAAATATATTTACACTTTTTTTTAAAAATCCTCACCCGAGGATAGTTTTCCATTTATCTTCAGGTAGAGTGGGAGGGAGGGAGAGGGAGAGGGAGAGAGAGAGAGAGAGAGAGAAACACCGATGTGAGAGAGACATACCGATTGGTTGCCACCTGCACAACCCTGACCAGGGCCAGGGACGAAAATGCAACCAAGGTACGTGCCCTTGGCTGGAATCAAACCCGTAACTCATTGGTCCATAGGCCGACACTCTAACCACTGAGCAAAACCGGCCAGGGCTATACTTATACTTTTGATCTGTAGTATTTTTGGTATCTTAATAGATTGAAAATGAAAAAATAAGAACCATTTCTTTGCATAAAGTCTACAGCATTGATTTCTAAATTTGCAAGTAGAATTTAATTAATGGCCAGAGCTTATTTTCTTAAAATACATTGGAATTAGAATTTGTTATGATCACGCAATAGATTTTTAGGTTTGTCAGCATATGATTGGAATTTATTCCTTATAACTGTAAAATTGCAATTTCAGATCTTTCCCCACCAGCTTCTATTAGTCCCATATAGGTAGCAGAAGTAGCTTGGAGGTTAACATATCTATTTACATCCACTTTGTGCACATCTCACCCAGGGCACTATAGAATCAGTGAAAAATAACTAATGTCTGTTTTTGAATAAACTATATTTTTTATATTTCTCTTTTTTTTCTCATTTACAGGGAGTTGATTTTCATATGGAGTAAACTTCAACTTAAGTCTAATCCTTCAAAACAAGTTTTTGTAGATCAATGCTACCAGCTTTTAAGAACAGCAACTAATGTGAGAGTCATATTTCCTTTCATGAAAATCATTAAAGATGAGGTAAATAGGATATATTTACCCCTTCATTTTAAAGGAAAAGTAAATGACAATTCACTGAAGAAACTTGAATATCTTATGACAGAGTTTATTTGATTGTAAATTTGAAGAGGATGATATAATTAAACAAGTTTTTCACTTTTATACAATTTTAACTAATTTGCAGATGAACTTTATATATCTATAGGCAATAGCTGCTCACTGTTATAAAAAATACAGTTCATAGTTTTTTTTCTTTTTCTTTTTTTTTTTCTTTTGCTCAGATGGAGTAGGAGGGAGAGAGCGAGGAAGAGAGAGAGAGGAACATCAACATGAAAGGGACACATCGAGTGGCTGCCACCCACACGACCGCAACCAGGGCCAGGGACAAACTGCAACTGTGGTATATGCCCTTAGCAGGAACCGAACCCGGGTCTCTCTGGACCGCCGGCCGATGCTCCAACCACTGAGCCAAACCGGCCTGGGCACAGTTCATAGTTTTAAGTCTGGTGTTTGGATGAAAAGAAAGCATGAATACAAGGCATTTTTGAAACTTAAGGACAGATTCTTAAAGCTTTATTTTACATAATAGTATAAACCCATTATCTGTTTTTAAAGAAAGTTCTGAAGCAAGTTTTTAATGGGCCACCTGCAAGTGAGTACAATTCTGCATGATTTATATAGACATGAAAATGGATCCTGCAGATCCTTTAACTTATTTCTACAAATATTAATAAGTTTAAATACAAACATGGAAAAGCTAAAGGTACACCCTACATATTAATTAACTGAATCTTTATGTGGGTTACTTTTAAATATATAAGAAGGCATTCATTAAACATTCCCTATTGTTACTTTTAAATATATAAGGGGGCACAATGCTGTATGAGTCTAGAAGGAGACATTACAGGTGGCATATTTGAAAAGGCTTCACAGAAGAAGATGCTTTAAGCTGGGATTTTGGGTTTTTTTTTATCCTCATCCGAGGACATTTTTCCATTTTTTGTTCAGATAGAGTGGGAGGGAGAGAGAGAGAAACATCAACGTGAAAGGGACACATCGAGTGGCTGCCTCCCGCACAACCCAACCAGGGCCGGGGACAAACTGCAACCGAGGTACGTGCCCTTAGTGGGAACCGAACCCGGGTCTCTCTGGACTGCAGGCTGATGGTCTAACCTCTGAGCCAATCCGGCCAGGGCTAAGCTGGGTTTTGAATGATAGAGGAGGAGAATACTAACGTTAGTATTTTACAGAGCACTTTTGCCTCATTTTTTTATTCATTTCTCAACCATCCAGTGACATTAATAGTGTAGCAGAGAAACCTGGGGAGAGTGTAGGAGACTAAACTAATCAAAAGGACTGCAGGAGGTGAGGGTGGGTTGCTGGAGATCCTAAAGGGATTTGAATGCTACACTAAAAGTTGGAATGTCAGTCCATAAATATATTGGAATATGTTAAAGAATTTTAATTAAGGAAGTGTCCTGTTCCCTTTTGTTCTTTTTTGATGATCCTGGAATTTTTAAACGTGGGCAACTGGGTATATTATAACTTCATTTGGAGAAAGAGAAGACATTCTGTTTTGAAGCAGTGAATTTTGAATTTATTATATCTGGAAAATCTAGGTGAGAATATCTCATTGTAACAGACAATTTGGAAAAGGAAATTTGAATTCAGATAAAGATTTCAAGCTGGAAATGATGGATTGATAGGAGAAAACTAAAATTAGTGGAATAGATCTGATCCCATTTGTTCTGTAAACATTTACTCAAAGGTCACTCACTATATGCCAACTTCTTTGCTAACCATAGGAGGATATAAAAAATAGGAAATTGTATTATTTAGGAATTCAAAATGATTTCTTAGAATTTAAGAATTCAAAGTCGGGGATGGGGCACACACAGATTTTTATAAAACAATATATACATGCTATTTAGAAATAAGTTATTCTCAGTGGAAAGAATAGGGAATGTTTATACCCCAGGGCAGGGACCAGAAGGAATGGTGAGAAAAACTGTCAGAGTAGAACTGATTTTCAAAAAATGAGTAAGAAATGGGTACCAATTTACCAGCTAAATAAAGTGGGAATATGATATGCAAAGTTAAGGTCTGCTTGTGGAACTGGAAAAGTTAAGCAGGGTTACACAGCATGTAAAGGACTAAGAGGACATGAGCATGGTAAGGTAGTGTTCCTCTCTGTCATCCAAAATATAGTGCATGCAACCAGTAGGATATATACATACACAATTTTAAAGACATATTACTACTGTACTTCTTTCTATTCAAACAAGCCTTTAGATCAGTGGTTCTCAAACTTCCTAATGCCAAGACCCTTTAATACAGTTCCTCATGCTGTGGTGACCCCCAACCATAAAATTATTTTTGTTGCTACTTCATAACTGTAATTTTGCTACTGTTATGAATCGCCATGGGAAATAGGTGTTTTCCGTTGGTCTTAGGCAACCCCTGTGAAAGGGTTGTTCGACCCCCAAATGGTTTGCAATCCACATGTTGAGAACCGCTGCTTTAGATCATTCCAAATCATTAGCAGTGTTATTTATAACTTGAATTAGGGTGGATAGAAAACAGATTCCCAAGTAAAATCTGATGCAGTTATCTTTGAGTCATAAGTAAAACTTTCAAAGCTCGAATAATTTTCAGGTAACTTCCAGTAGGTTCATTATTCTGATACTTTATTAGATTTAGAAAGATTGTAACTGCCCTCTTCATGTGGCCTATACTTCTCCCCTTATTTGGACAAGTAATATTACTTACGTAAAAGAAGAAATATTATTTAGTGCAGCTTTATGAAAGAGTTTCCATAAGTAATTCTTTTTCTAAAAATATTATACTTATTTTTTAACATCAAAAATTGATAAATGTGTTTACACACATATAATTTAACCTTTTCTGCCACAGAATGTGAGATTAATACCTAAAATAATAAACAGGATCTAGATTTGTAAGAAACTTTAATCTTCATTAGTTTATGAAGCATTTTGTCTTATGGTTAGTAGGGCTAGACAAACTTAAAAATTAAATAAATTGGAAGCAAACATGCTATCTTTTCCAGATTATTCTCAAATTTTAAAATATTTATTTATATATTAAAAAAGAGTTAAGCCTACCCATTAAGGAAAATTTTACACTTGCAATATTGTTTATTTAGCTTTCATTTCAGAGTTATATTTTAAAAAGATAAGCTAGATTGTATAATATTTTTAAAATGTATTTAGTAGTAATATTTTTTTCTTTTATACAGGTTGAAGAAGATGGCTTACAAATTTGTGTTGAGATATGTGGTTGTGCTCTACAACTAGACCTTCATGATGATCCCAAAACTAAGTGTCTAATTTATAAAACAATTGCACATTTTTTGCCAAATGATTTGGAGATCCTTCGGATCTGTGCACTCTCAATATTTTTTCTTGAGCGCTCTTTGGAAGCTTATCATACTGTTGAAGAGCTTTACAAACGTCCAGATGAGGAATATAATGAAGGCACCAGTAGTGTTCAAAATCGTGTTCGTTTTGAGTTACTTCCAATTTTGAAAAAGGGATTGTTTTTTGATCCTGAATTTTGGAACTTCGTAATGATTAAGAAAAACTGTGTAGCATTACTGAGCGATAAATCAGCAATCAGATTTCTAAATGAAAGTACACTGGAAAATTCTGCAGGTAATCTAAAAAAGACAGTGGAACAGAAAGGTTTAGATGAAGGTCTTGACTCTTTTACAGATCAGAGCACTGGAGAGCTTGATTCTGATGATATACCTGGAGTACAACCTAAAGGCCATGTTAATACAAAGAAAAACCTTACAGCTCTTAATGCTTCTAAAGTAGATCACAGTGTCCCAAGGCATCGGTGTATGTTATGTAACAAGGAATTTCTAGGTGGTCACATCGTAAGGCATGCCCAGGCTCATCAGAAAAAGGGCAGTTTTTCCTGTGTAATATGTGGTAGGAAATTTAGAAACAGAGGACTTATGCAGAAGCATTTAAAGAATCATGTTAAAAAAATACAAAGACAGCAAATTGCTGCAGCTCAACAGGAAGATCAGGAAATTCCTGCTTTGGAAGAAATAAGTTGTTCCAATTCTTTAATTTCATTTGAAAATGGGAATTCTGATAATAAAGATTTGGAAGTACAGACTATTGATACTTTAAGTGATGGAAACAAAGTCATCCCTGAGCATGCGGCTGAATTTACTGAAATTCCCATAAGTGTATCGGAAGACGTTATTGAAAACATTATTGAAAATGGCAGTCCTGATACATATGTAAATAATGTATTGGAGCCTTTACCTGTATGTGAGGATGACTATGAGGAGGAAGAGGACGAAGAAGGTGACTATGAAGAAGATGATTATGACTTGAATCAAGAAACTTCAGTACTTCATAAAATCAATGGAACTGTGTGCCATCCAAAAGACATATATGCTACAGATCAAGAAGGAAACTTTAAGTGCCCTGCTCTTGGCTGTGTCAGGATATTTAAAAGAATTGGATTTCTAAATAAACATGCAAGAACTGTACATCCAACTGACTTAAATGTTCGGCAAACGGTAATGAAGTGGAGCAAAGGAAAATGCAAATTTTGTCAAAGGCAGTTTGAAGATTCTCAGCATTTTATAGATCACCTTAATAGACACAGCTATCCAAATGTGTACTTTTGTTTGCATTTTAATTGCAATGAGTCGTTTAAGCTGCCATTACAACTTGCTCAGCACACAAAAAGTCACAGGATATTTCAAGCTCAGTGTAGTTTTCCAGAATGCCATGAGCTTTTCGAAGATCTTCCTCTACTATATGAACATGAAGCTCAGCACTATTTAAGTAAAACACCAGAATCATCTGCACAACCAAGTGAAGCAATTGCTTGGGATGTTCTTACAGACTCAACTCCTAGTCATCAGGAAAAAGACTCATCTAGTAATGAGAAACAAGCTATTAATCTGCCAGTTTCTACTAGCAAATCAAGGAAAGATTCTACAGAACCAAAGACATGTATAGACACTATGGAAAAGAAGACAGACAGTTTAGTTCAGAATGGAAATGAACATTCTGATGACACTGTTTCTGATATAAGCTTGACAGACCAAAAGATGCCTGACATAGAGCCAAATTCTGAAAATAATTTTAGTATTAGTGATTTAGTCAATGGACATAGTGGAATAGAACAGACACCTTTAGTTTCATCAGGTCCTGCTTTGAAAATTGATACAAATAGAATCAGGACAGAAAACGGTTCCATTTTACCCAACGTATCACAAGAACACAGTACCCTGCCAGTATCTCAGGCACCATCCAAACCAAATCCGACAAGTGAACATACTTCATATGGCTTAATTTTATCAAAGCCATATGTCAGACCATTGCCTCCCAGTTACCTTGATGAACGGTACCTTAGTATGCCAAAACGCAGAAAATTTCTGACTGATAGAATAGATGCCTGTTCCGATCAAGATAACATTTGTAAAAAATCAGTGAAAAGATTAAGATGTGGCAAATGCCTGACCACCTACTGTAATGCAGAAGCACTTGAGGCTCACCTTGCACAAAAGAAATGTCAGGCACTCTTTGGATTTGATTCAGATGATGAAAGTAAGTCTTCTATCTTCTCAGTGGACATGTCTGTAAAAATAGAAAATGCCATAACTCTTTGAGGTTAAAAAAATTAAGATTTGTATAGCACAGATAACAAAGCACTACCTATACATTATTTCCTTTCGTCCATGCAGCCATTATGAGGTGATACTAATATTCCTGTTTTATAGAGCAAACAAATTCACAAGTTAATTTGCATAGGTACAGGCCTATGAACTTGTGGAAGGCAGAACTTGTACACAGGTTTTTTATACTCTGATTAGTTTCACTGTATTTGAGGCTTTTCTTCATTCTAAGTTCATGTAAAGTTCTAGAAACAAAGTAATTATGATGGAAGTGTTTTTCATCTACATGCTAGAATGTAAATCAAGTGAAAGTAAGCCTCTTTATAAAGACAACTTAAAATAACCAGAAAATAATTGAAAAACAAAAATGAGCAAAAGAAGAACTTGCAGAAGAACGATATCAATATTCTTTGAATGTGTAAGAGTATAAACAAAAAGGAATCTGACTTAAAATTCCAGTTGGACATCTATATATTTGAATTAATAGACGTGTTCTGTTTTACAGGTGCCTGAGAAAAATGTTTCAGATCTGTCGATCAAGCAGTAGTGTGAAAAAAGCACTACAAGAAAATGCATCATCAGTTTGCTATTTCCCTGATGGCCTTAATTTTAGAGCGGTCTCGGATTACTAAAGATAAAGACGAAGCACATTGTCTAGAATGAACTCACAGAGATGTGCTGGTTCAGATTCCAAAAGGATTATTACAAAACTCCCAAAGTACCAGTTATCCGGAAAACCACATTTTTAAAAAAGTTTGTGAGATTAATAGCAGCATGTTCAGTATCGCTTATGTGAGAAACATGTTCAGGCAACTAGTCGGAAAGAGAAACCAGATATGGCCTTACAGAAGGGGAAAAGGTAACCCATTATTTAAAAAGGGGAGGGGTTGGTTTACAATAAACAACTTAAGGTATTCTACAAATGGGTTGGTTTTCTTGTCGTTCATAAGCAGATTATGACCTCCCTTCCGGTCAAACATGGTTTATGGAATCACTACTATTTGGTTTATTATAATTTAGAAATTGATTCTGAAACTAAAACTTGATTTATCACCATTCTATCCATAAAAGATTGTAACTTGCTTCTAGATGACTGAATAGACAGGTCAGAGTTCAATGCATGGCATGCCAGCATTGAAAATTAAAAATTAAAAAACAACAGTTCTTTGATAGAACCTTCCACTTTCCATTTTTGTAATACCAATGAATTATATTTAAAAGGCAGCAGTGTCAATTAAATGTAAAAGTACCATCTGTAACTTTGGGGACAGATGGGAAGAATCTAAGACCATTAAAGGCTATCTAGTTGAAGAAAACACTGAATTGCAAATTCCTCAATGTGAATAATGGTATAAGCACACTGGGATATTTCTATTTGTATATAGAGTCGTGTTAGGACATTGCTCGATGATTCATAGTATGGTCCTTTAGACATTAATGTGAGTTATCTAAGGACAGTCTTATAAAAATTACTGGCTGTAAAAAATAATGTAAGCTAAGAATCAGATCAAAATTCATTGGTTTTATTCATTTAGGAGAGCTTGTTATAAAATAAGCCATATTACTCATGCTTTCTTATTTATTAATAATGAATTTGGTCTGAATAATAATTTTATATATATATGTATATGAAAATAAATATTTACACAAAAATTTGCACAGCAAGGACACAGTAAGATATATTGATGCATTTATTTTCCTTGATGACCAGTAATTTTCTTAAGGAAGATTTTAGCAAATTTTAAGACAAATAATGTTTTTTAAAATACCCTCTTAGATGTGTTCTACTTGTACATTCTAAAGGAAGAAGGTTAAAGACCTCCTTTTACCTAATAGTGTGTTAAATCTATAGCAGGGATAAAATGAACAAAAATGCCAAGGCAAATTCTTCAGAAACTGAGCTAGTAATGTACCAGTGTCAACTAAATATTCCAATATTCCAACTGACACATTTGTGTTCAAAACAGATAATCTCATCAGACCCTACTATATCCAAATATTGTGAATATTAAGTTTTGGCATATTGAAGCTTCTTGAATGAAGTTACTAAGCAAGTGGGACATTTCTTCCAGGGCAGCATCCAGACTTCATTAAATTAGGATTTCCAAGTTACAATAGATAATGGTAGATCCGATATCTAAAAAATTTCCTAGTTTTACTAGCTTAGTTATCATGAGCATTCACTACTATGCAATTGACAGTCATAAGTCTGTTCCAATAAAATTTAGGTTTATTTTTTGTTTTTTTACGTAGCCTACGTTAGGCTGTGGAATTCACATCTAAATAGCATAAGTAAACACAAATCAGTTAGACTTTTTAAAATTCTTTAAGGTCAACCTAAAATGTTTTCCATATTTCCTGACACTAAAAATATAATACTTGAGATATTTCAGTTTAGTCTAAAATAATTATGTAATAAAAAGTCTGTTTGGAAACTTGTTCATTTGAACAATAAAGTTGTTTTTAAATATAAACTTGTTCATTTTCCAGAAGTTTAAAATTACAGCTTAACATTTTTTGACATTTTATTTTTTTGTAAGTTGAAACTACCATGTCTACAAATCATTTTCTTTCATTCTGCACGTTTTAAACATATTACATATATATATATTTTTGTCTTTGAGGTATTATTTCTACTTTTTTGTTGCTAAGGGAAAACTTTTGGACAGATCACATCGGTTTATAAGTCAAGGAATGTCTTATAAAATTCTCTTTGTCCACACTGTTCTAACCTCTATATCCTTCTCAAATAATTGCTATTGAAAGAATGTGTACATTTTATGTATGTTCTTTAAAATATAACTTACATCATTTTGCTTGTAGAGGGTACATAAACTTCCAACAGTTCTAATTTGGAATCCAGAAGAAGAGCTTTCTTCTTCCTTAGTTTATTCTCTTTCTTTTCTACTCCTTCTATTTTGAGGATGTGTTTATCTTAACATGGACCAAGTTTCAATCCTTTGTTTTTAAATAAAAAATTGCCTTCAAAACATTAAATATTAACTTTCTGCTGTGTTTCAGTAAGGTCAAGAAAATAGCAAATCTGAATTTTTGCTGCTCAGATATTATGGGGGAGGTAGAAAAGGGGATCTCCGTGGATAAGGACACTGGTACTTTGGGCTTTAGCCATATTCGTTTTTTTAAACCACCAATTATATGAGTAGATAATTTATAACATTGAACTTGTGATTCTTCTGAAATCACACTTGAAGGTTCAGCTGTACTCCCTTTGTGTTTGGTTTAAACTGTTGTATGGATGAAAAACCTAAAAGGGATGATAGTGTTTATTTTTTAATTTATTTGGTACTGTAAAACATCTTTTCAGAATGACTAAATGCTGCATATGCATTTTGGAATTGTTAATATGTGAAAGATATTACAGATTCAGCAAGAAAGGAATTTGTGCTTCCTTGTTGAACATTAAATTATTTTACTTTGCATTTTATAAGAGTACAAATTAAAACTGAGCCATTGAACTGCAATAAATCAACAGTGTCTCATTTCAAAAAATTTTTTGTATTGTACATAGATTTGTTCAATAAAACATTGTCCTTATTGGTAATGAAGTGTTCATTTTTATGTAGTACAATATTTCAAAAGGAATTAGGCTTAAGATATATATATTAAATAAATAAGAATTTTCTATTATGTCTCATAAGAGAATGAGGTATTTCAGAATATTACCATATTCAATTATTGAGTGATTAAAAAGAAATTTAACTAATGTCCACATGCAGGAATTACATGTTGATAGAATGTTGGTTACTGAAGTCATTTCAAGTAAATGGTTTCAGTATGAGATACTACCTCTGTCAACTTAGTAGGTGGAAGACAAATGTCAGAAGCAAGACAACGGATAGATTTATCTTCAATGATGAAGAGCATCTGGTGAAACAAAACAAACAAAAAAATGTGAAGTCATTTGGAATAAGATGTAAATGATGATGAAAATTACTACCTACAAAAGCATTTCAGTGGGAAAATGTATAAAAGAGATCCTTGGGCATGAGGGTTTCTACGTTTTTGGTTCACTAACAGGAAAACCTCCTACACTTGACAATAACTTGCAACTAGGGAAAATGGGCTTGATGTAGAAAAGAATCTCTTTAATGTCATGAGATAGTACTGCAAATGAAAGAATATATACTGTGTTAAATACAGTGTACATATTATGTTATGCTTTGAAAAACACTGATAAAAACACTATGAGGAAGTTACTAAAGTATAGAGCTGAATTCTCAGTCTATGATTTATGGTCCTATGATCTTAGACTATTAAATGTTTTGAGGTATTTAGAGAAAATTATTGGGGTTATCTGCACTTTTTTTTCTTTTCTGAAACTTGAATCTGAGAAACAATCAAATATTACTAGGTATGCCAGGATAAACAAAAAGATTGCTTTTCATAGCATGATATAAGATCCATAGTGATTTCAAGAACCAACTGATAACAGAAGTTTTGGCTCGATATCAAGATTTGATTTGAAATAGTACATGGAATAAAGGCTAACAGTGGGAGAGAGATGTATGCCTTATTTATGGGAGAAGAAATGGCTTTTTGTTTTATGAAATTGCTGTGTACCATCTACTTTGTGTGTTAACCCCTAATTGTTAAAAACAACAGTAGATAAGAACATTGATTTTAGAAACCAAGGTTTAGAAAGGTTAAATAACTTGATTAAAGTCACACAGCTAATAAATAGATGGAATTAAAAAATCAGATATGTCCTAAAAACATAATGCCACGCAGTTTCCATTCTGTCATGCAGTTTTCCCTATGCATATAGATCATGAGGGGATCTAATACATTCAAATGAAGAGGGGCAAGGCTTGCCTAAGGATCAGTGATTCCAGAGACAAAGAATAAAGTTGGCTACAGACATAGTTGTTTGATGCTTTATTCTCTTCTACCAGCAGTGATTCTTAACAGTGGTCCCCAGAGCAGCAGAATCAGTATCAACTCAGAACTTGTTAGAGATGCTCAATTTCGGTCAGGTGGGGACCAATCTGTCTTTTGAGAAGTCCTCCAGGTGATTCTGATACAGGCTAAGATTTGAAAATTGCAGATCTAAAGCAACAAGGTTCTTCATATTTCCCTAGAAGGTCAACTATTTCTCCTTTTCAAAAACTTAGTTTCCAGGAAATTTAAAGAAGTCCCCTGTTATCAGGTACTTAACTACTTTTGGGTGAATGGATATTTTAATAGCATGATCTAATACCCCAAACCACTCTAATCTAGAAAACTTCTCTTTCCTCAAAAAGCATTCTGTAACTGAAACTGCCAGAACATGATTTAATGGAAAAAGAGGTATGGGGATCAGTTGTATTCAAGACAGTTTTTTGCTCCTGCAGCCTTAAGCAATTAAGTGCATCTCTAAACTCAGACTTCCACATACGTTAAAAAAGGAGAACTGTTCTTACAAGGCTATAACAATTACGTCTGTGAAGGGCCTGGAGCTGAGACCTTAACTGTTGAAATTTTATTAAAGTTCTCTTCATGTTATGGCTCCTGTACTGTCTTTGGCTCCAGCCAAAAAATAGCCATGCTATTTTATTTCATGCATATTTCACTACTTCTCCCTATACCTATAATTCACCTTTCTGCCCACTCCTCATTCTTTGCTTTTAATCTTGGGCATCAACACTTTCTCCAGAAAGCCTGATCTCTCTTGAAAACTTCATATTTCTCCATTGAAACCCACTTCTCCCAGTCTTCCTCCTCTCAGTAAATGGCAATTCTACTTGCACAAATCAAAACGTTGCAGTCATCCCAGACTGGTTATCATGTCCTTCACTCAACCTCAATCCATCTCTCACATGGACTACTGTAGTAATCTAATTGAGTTCTTTGCCTCTCCCCTTGCCCTTCTTCCCTCTATTCTTCAGACCAGCAGCCAAAAATGATTCTGTTTGAAACAAGTCAGATCATGCCATTCCTCAGTTTAAAATCCTCCAATGGCACCTTGGCTGGTGTAGCTCAGTTGGTTCGGGCGTCATCCTGTGCACCCGAAAGTCCTGGGTTGGATTCCAATCAGGGCATGTGGGGGTTTCAAGCTCAATCCCCAATGGGGGGCGCGCAAAAGGCAACCAATGGATGTTAAGCTTTGACATGTTTTTCTCTCCCTTCGTCTCTCCCTAAATACAGTTTTTTTAAATCTTTTTAAAAAATAAAAAGAAACAGCAAACAGCAAGGGAACGAACCACTGTGACTAGTCTGGAGTGAGGGTGACAGTTACTGGAAATGAAGACAGGTAAAAGATAAAAGCCAAAGTCTTTAATGACAGGCAATGCTCTAGATCTGCACTATCTAATACAGTAGCCATTAGCCACATATGACTATTAAAATATTAAAATTCAAATAAAATTTAAAGTTGAGTTCTTCAGTTACACTAGCCATATTACAAGAGCACAATAACCACATGTGGCTGATGGTTATTTTATTGGACAAAACATATACAACTTTTACATCATCTCGGAAAGCACTTTTGGACAGGTGGTTGTATTCAGTGGTTTTCAACTAAAGGTGGCTTTTTTTGTCCCCCAGGAAACATTGGGCAAAGTGGAGATATTTTTGGTATCCATACTTGAGGGGAGGACTGCTGCTGATATCTAGTGAGTAGAGGCTAGGGATGCTATTAAGCTTATTACAATGCGTAGGACAGTACCCACAGTAAAAAATTATCCTGCCCAAAATATCAATAGCACCAGGGTTGAGAAACTCTGCTCTAGATCAATCTTGACTACAACTCTAATTTCACTGCTAACTAACTGCCTCCTCCTTCCACAAACTACTCCAGGTTCCTGGCCCCCTTCCTACATGCCAAGTACTCCATTCCTTCCTCAGAACTTGTACTGTTGCCTCTTCAGACACTCTTCTGTAGTTCATGCTCTTGTTTTCTTCAGGTTTTTCCTTCAGTGTCACTTAGAGAAGCCTTTCTTGAAAGCCTGTATAAAATAGTAACATCCTCTCCATCACCCTCCTTTTGATATTTTTTCCTCCATACCATTTAATGACAGTATGTTTCTTGTATGTTTCTTGTCTGTTTCCTTCCACTAGAATGCAAGCTACAAAGAACAGTGCCTGGCAAGCAGTTAGATGCTCAATACATTTTTTGAATGAATAAAAAAGTTGGGCATGCTTTTCAAGTGGTTCCACACTAACATTATGAGCACTTACTTGTCATCTCTTGCTAAACTCCCAAAGGGTTCTCAAAGGAAGGTATCGTTTTTCTGAATCTTCAGTACCTAGTACAGTAGACAATCAGTAATGCTCAATGAAAAATGAATCAGTATCTGTACAGCAAAATATCCCAAATAACATCCACGGCCAAATTAGATTAACCATGCTTTGAATGCCTGTTTTAAAGACTATATTTACAGTACATTTTATGACTGGTATTTACCTGTAATTTGTAAAAAAAACATTAAATTTGCTCACAGGATCTGCAGATATGTATACATTTCAGCCATTATGGCAATAACTAATTAAACGTTAAGCACGGCTTAAACCTAGAAGGAGACAGAGGCAAGTGTTTTAAATCCAATTCCTAATCCGGATTTCGTCCAGCAGACTGCTTCTCACGAATGTGGATTGCTGTTTTAGTAACAGTAACAGCTGACAGCTGTTGAACTCTTTCTTCCCGCCAGGCACTGTTCTTCATTCTTGCTCCCCGCCCAACCCGCCTACAAGGTAGATATCTCTACTAGATCCACTTGGAGATAAGAAGCCGAGGGACAAAAACGGCTACTGAGCTAGCCCAAGGTCACTGTTAGGAAATGGGCGGTATAAATCCCTGCACTCCGGCTTCCAGCATCCCTAACCTTCATCTGCCACGGGCGACCACCCCTCTACGACCAAGCCTGCCAGGGCCTGAATGGAAGCAACGGAGGACCCAGTTTGAGAGGAAAGTCAGCTGGAAGGCTGGCAAGCTAGCTAGCAAAGGTGATTAATTAAACAACAACAACAACAACAAAAAACAGGCCAGCTGGTGTGGCTCGGTGGTTGAGCATCCACCCATGCACCAGGAGTACTGGTTCCATTACCGGTCAGGACACTTGCCCAGGTGTGGGCCCGATTCCCAGTGGGGGGCATGCAGGAGGCGGCCAATCTCTGTTCACTCTCACCGATGTTTCTATCTCTCTCCCTCTCCCTTTCTCTCTAAAACCAATAAAGAAAAACAAAAAAACTTAAACAAAATAAAAAAAAACTTTCCATAGTATGATGTTAAAACTGTATCACCTTAACACAGTACTATGTAATTTAAGAATACGAAACTAGAGGTACACTGAGCTCAGAAGTCGCTGCGAGGACTTCGCACCGCTCCAGGCGGCAGGCGGGCCGGGAGGAGGCGCCTCCATCGGCCCGCCCCGCAGCATCATGGGAGTTGGCCGTCCGCTGGGACCAGCGCCCGCGTTCCACACACCTGCGCAGCGCTCCCAGGCGCGGTCTTGGCGGAGCGACTCCCGAGGAGTTCGGGGCTTCGCTTTCCGCATCCAGATCCCTTGTGGAAGGTCGATGTTCTCGGTGTAAACGCGGCTCTTTTTGAAGTGAGATCCGTGGGACTCGGCTCCGTTCCGGCCAGCCCGGAACGACAAGTTGGCGCACTGCGTTTCCTGATTGACCTCTTTGGCGGTCACTTCCGCCTAAGGGTTTGGAATATCCCAGGCGAACAGCCGGAAGGCACTTCCGGTGCCTGTCGCCTAGGCGCCGGCCCCGGTGGGCCTAGAGGAGCGCACCATTGGCTTCGTCCTCTACCCCCTTCCTGGGGGTCGAGATGTCGGGGCTCAGCTACGCAGAGAGAGAGGGCTGTCGTAAGCTGCTCGGCCTGCTGGAGAACGAGGAGATCATGGCCCTATGCGACACCATCACCAACCGCCTGGTGCAGCCTGAAGACCGCCAAGGTAAGGGTGGACCCTCCCCCAGGGCGGCCGACCCTCCGCCGGCCGCAGCGGCCCGCAGGGAGGCCTCAGGGAGTGGAGGGCGTGCGAGGCCTCGCCCGCAGCCCGTCCCGCGGAACCCCCGGGCATCTCGGCGCCGCCGCAGCCCAGCGGCCTTGGAACCGCGATGCAGCCCCGGGCGGTTGTGGCACTGAAAACGGCGCTGCTTTTACCCACTGAACATTGTAGACAAATACTTGTTTCGAGGATTCAGAGTACGTGAATAGTCACTTTAAAAAATTACGGGAACCGGGGTGTTGTCCATCGTGTTTCGATCAGCTGAGTGTCAGCTGCTGGTCGGCATTTTCAGGCCTGGCAGAGGACGGCAGCCTTTGGTATCAGTCTCGTCGTTAAAACGACTGTAATAGAAGCAGGTGGTTTGAAGTCATGTCTTTCTCTTTTGGATCCAGATTTTTTTCCGAGATGACTTTGTGTAGAGAATATCACTTCCAGAACCAAATAAACATTTCGGTAGAATAGATTTCAAGGGTTATTAAACATTCAGCCTGATTGTAACAAGTCTGTATAAAAATGTGGGTACCCCTGGCCGGTTTGGCTCAGCCGTTGGAGTGTTGGTCTGTGGACCAGAGAGTCCCGGGTTTGGTTCCCGCTAGGGGCACGTACCAGTAAGTAAATGAATTGTAGTAGAATCCATTAAAAAGAAAGAAAGAAAGAAAGTGAGTAGCTTAAGCGTTTATTTCATTTTGTATATCACCTGGCCAGTTTTATTTTAAACTTGCTGGATTTTACTTTAAAATGTGAAAATTCCAGCCCCCTATTACAGTAAATGACTTATCTAGAAAAGATTCTGCTTTACATTTTTATCATTTAAGAAAATCTCTCATTTGAAACTTCAAACTATGAACATTAAAAGAAGAAACTCCTAAGAATTTACACTGAAAATGCTTTTAGACCTAATGTAGTTCTTCAGTATTTATATATTTTACATAATCACCTCTAAAGTCAAGATGAGTGAATTTAAAATTCTAATAGATCAAAATATTGGATTTAATTGGAGGACATAAAAACCAATAAGAAAAATGAAGTTCCCAGTACAAAAATGTTAAATGATTTGAGGAAACTTTTCTGAAAGAGGAAAAATAATCACTAAACATATGAAAAGGTAACCTTTTTAGAAAGCAGTGAAATGAAAACCAAGACATATGACCTTTGATTTCTTTTTTCTTCTGTGTATCAGATTGGCAAAAAACTAAATGTGTAAACTTCAGGCCTTGGTGATTATGTGAAACAGCTTTTAGAATTACGACTTTCAAAAACAAGTTTGACATTATCTCCTAAAATGGAAGATTTGCTTACTCAAAGGCACTAGACCAGAGTTGATTAAATTTGAATATGCCTATGAATCAGATTCTGGTTCAGTAGTTTTGGGATGGGCCCAAAACCTCCACATTTTTATTTATTTTTATTTTTATTTTTTTATCCTCACCTGAAGACATTTTTCCATTTTTTTTTGTTTGGATAGAGTGGAAGGGAAAGAGAGGAAGAGAGAGACAAACATCGATGTGAAAGGGACACATCGAGTGGCTGCCACCCGCACAACCCAACCAGGGCCAGGGACAAACTGCAACCAAGGTACATGCCCCTAGCGGGAACCAAACCCTGGTTTCTCGGAAAGCAGGCCAACGCTCTAACCACTGAGCAAACTGGCCAGGGTGAAAAATTCCACATTTTTAACAAGCTCCTAAATGATGCTCATCTGCTTCTCCCTCTGCACTGGGAAACATGCATGAAAGTAATAGTGTTTGTAATTTGACACATATGATAAAACCCTATAAACAGAAGATACATACCTTGTGATACAGTCGTATATTTAACTGTGGTACAACTGGAATTAATTAGAACTATGTATATTCACATAGATTAATCTCAGAAACAACTTGAAGGGAAAACCTGATTACAGAAGACTACTGATGGTTTGGATTTACAGAATGTTCAAAAATAGCAAATTATATTATTTAGGAATATGTAGTTATATTGTATTACTATGAAGAAAAACAAGGGAAACCCTGGCCGAGTAGCTCAGTTGGTTAGAATGTCATTGCCATATGCCAAGGTTGTAGGTTTGATCCCTGGTCAAGGCATATATATGGGTCAACCAACGAAAGCGTAAATAAGTGGAACAACAAATTAATCTTTCTCTCTCCCTCTGTCACTTCCTCTTCCCCTCTCTCCCTCTCCCTCTCTAAAATCAATAAATTTAAATTAAAAAAAAGAAAGAAGAGCAAGGGAATGATAAACAACACTTAGGATAATAGCTACCTGTGAGATAGGTGGGAAGAGAGAGGGAATGGCATTAAGTAGGGAGGGGTAAAATTACGGCATCAAAGATATTAGTAATTTCGTGTGTCTCAACCTGCATGATGTACATGGGAGTTCATTTCATTGGTATTCTGTGTACCTCACATCGATGTCTCGTGTTAAGAATACTCTTTGGTCTGTCGTTTAATATAATATTTTTAATTAAAAAAGTACAGTAAGAATTCTGTCAATTCTTAGAAGTATGATTATTGATATCTCATGTTCTCCAAGTTTCATTGTCTATAGAGTGAGGAGATTGAACTAAAAGTTTGTGCACATCTAAAATACTCTAATTTTACCCATTTTTAGGGATAGAAAAACATCGATGCAAGAAAGACATATCAATTTAGGTCCATTGGCTTACTAGAAATAAAATTGTTTTCTCTGGCTCAAATTTTCTTTTAATACACCGTTTTGAAAAAGAAATGCTAAAATTTTGCTATATTATGAGGAGTGAAATTTTGGGTGGGGAAATTGAAAGCATAAAGATTTTTTTTTTAACCCGAAACCTGACAACCCACTTCCTGTTTTTTAAAAATGATTACTGTCTCCTGCAGAATAAAAAATGATCCAACAAAAGTATAAATATTTAATAGAATTTCTGCCTACCGTGGACAAATGTATAAGTGACTCATGATTTTCTGTTAATCTTTACAACTTTCTTCCAGATGCCATTCGTGCAATATTAGTGTATAGTCAAAGTGCAGAAGAACTTCTGAAGCGAAAAAAAGTCCACCGAGATGTCATATTTAAGTACTTGGCATCTCAGGGGGTTATTATACCTCCAGCTACTGAAAAACACAATCTTATTCAGCATGCTAAAGATTACTGGACAAAGCAATTACATCTGAAATTGAAGGAAACACCAGAGCCAGTTAAGACCTCTGAGGACATTAGACTCTCTCAACAGGTAAAATTGATCTTATCCTTATAACCTGAACCATAATTCTGTTTTGAATTCGTTAGATAATCCTAGATCTGGGGTAACATGTTAATAATACTTTGTTTTTTATAATTTTAGCTTTACCTCATATCTTTTACATCATTAAGGAAGACCAGTAAAGCACCTAAGAGACAATTTTTCTGCCATTTAGTAATATATATAAAATATTCTGATTTGTGAGGGGAAAAAAGTTTTTATCCCCTTATCAATTGAGGACTATTGGATTTTTAAAGAGGGTGGATAGATTACAGGATCAATTTAATTTTAATTTAGCCTCTAGTTCTCTGTAAATTTTTTGTACTTCTTTATTGATTTTAGAGAGAGAGGAAGGAAGAACGAGAGAGAGATAGAAACATTGGTGCGAGAGAACATTGATTGACCTCTTCCTGCATGCCCCCTCTGGGGATCAGGCCCAAAGCCTGGCCATGTGCCCTGACAGAATCAAACCAGCAATCTTTTGGAACATGGGTCAATGGTCAATCACTGAGCCACACTAGCCGGGCTTCTTATTATCTTTAAAAATTAATTTTTCTTTATTGATTTTAGAGAGAGAGGAAGGGAGAAGGAGAGAGATAGAGACATCAATGAGAAAGAACATCCATTGGGTGCCCCCTGCATTTCCCCTACTGAAGTTTAGGCCCACCACCTGGGCAATGTGCCCTGACCGGGAATCGAACTGGTGACCTCTTGGTACATGGGTTCAAGCTCAACCACTGAGCCACACCAGCCAGGCTATTTTATTTTATTTTTTTGTTAATCCTCACCTGAGGATATTTTTCCATTGATTTCTAGATAGAGTGAAAGAGAAGGAGGGAGAGAGAGGGAGAAACATCAGCTCAAGTGAGACATATCATTTGCTTGCCTCCTGCACAACCTGCAACCCGAGTACGTGCCCTTGACTAGGGATTGAACCTGAGACCCTTCAATTCATGGGCCGATGCTCTAACCCAGCGGTTCTCAACCTATGGGTCACGACCCCTTTGGGGATCGAACGACCCTTTCATAGGGGTCGCCTAAGACATAACAGTAGCAAAATTACAGTTATGAAGTAGCAACAAAAATAATTTTATGGTTGTGGATCGCGACAACATGAGGAACTGTATTAAAGGGTCGCGGCATTAGGAACGTTGAACTGCTGAGCCAAGCTGGTTAGGGCAGTTTTTTCTCCTTTGAACGAATGCTATTGTAAGCCCTTTCTTGTTTTGAAGATAGTCTTCAGCATTAAATTGCAAAAATACCATGAAAGAAACTTAAATATTTTTACATTGGAGTTTTTTTAATCTACAAAAAATTTTGTTGTAATTTCCTGTGGCTGATGTTGGCCGTTCCCAGTCTTTATATCTTCACTGTACATTTTAGATATTGTGTGAATATTTAAATGTTGATTGAATGAGTCTCTAGGTCATTTGCAGATTTTTAAACTACATACCACATGTTTTGAATTAATAAGATTTTACAGTGAGAGATATTTTTAATTTTTTTCTTTATTGATTTTACCTTTTTTTTTTTTTTTTAATCCTCACCCGAGGACATTTTTGCATGTATCATCAGATAGAATGGGGGTGGGGAGGAGAGAGAGAAAAACATATATGAGAGAGAACATTGATTGGCTTCCTCCTCCTTACCCCTCTCTGGGGATTTGGTCCACAACCTGGGCATGTGCCTTGACTGGGAATCGAACCAGTGACCTCTTGGTGCATGCATCAACACTCAACCACTGAACGTCACTGGCTCGGCATAAAGTGAAAGATATTTATCTTTACATTAGGAAAAGATCTTATAAGGGCTTTCTTAATGTGCTAAAAAAAAAACCTTGACTTTGAAATCATAACAGATGTGATTTCAAATTAGGGTCTGCCATATACTAGATGTGAATTTGTACAAATAACTTGACCTTTCTGAGCTCTGTTTTCTTTATGTATAAAATGGGCATAAGGGCCCAGCTGGAGTGGCTCAGTGGTTGAGCGTCAACACATGCACCAAGAGGTCACCGGTTCGATTTCCCGGTCAGGCCCATGCCCAAGTTGTGGGCCAAATCCCCAGTTGGGGGAAGGCTGGAAGCAGCCAGTCGATGGTCTCTTTCATCAGTGTTTCTATCTCTCTCTCCATCTCCCTTCCTCTCTCTCTAAAGTCAATAAAGAAAAATTATTTCTAAAAATTAAAAATAATAAAATGGACATAGGAATAGTCATAAGGCTTGTGGAAATAAAAGAAAATAGCACTTAAGTGCTAAGCACAGTGCCCTTTATATTCACTAGCACATGCTCAGTAAATACAAGATTTCATATCATGTAAATGAGGTACTGTGCTCTGGTATAAATAAAAATGAATAAAAATCTAGCTTATCAGGCATATTTTTGCAATAACATTTTCTTTGGAGGAAAAAAAGAGAACGAATAGTGTAAAATTTGTCCTAACTATAGAAAAGAACCTAATTCAATATTAGAAGTATCTGTTTAAAGACAGTGATATTGTCAAATTCATTGTGGTATGATTTATGTGCCTCAGTTATTTATTTATAGTATACATTTTAAAGGCTTTGACATTTTTTTTCACACCTGTGAAACAACCACTGCCACAATAAGAGAAAATGCTTATACAGATCATTATTGACTGTTCATGATATTTTAAGAGGCTTTGTTAAACCTTAATTTTTTAGCTGGATTTCTAGACATTTTTTAAGTTGGGAAATTCTAAAATTATTTTTCCCCCTTTTTGCAGAAAGAATTTACTTTGCATGATGGGTTCAGTGAGTTTATATGTAATTTATTTCTTTTGTGCTATAATTAGTACTACATTAAAACCTAGCTCTGAAACAAGCTAAAAGGAAAAATAGATACAAGAATTAACCTTGGTATTATTTTCTATTTGTCTTAGCAGGAGAAAGAAGATAAAACTGAAAAAGTTGATTTTCGTCGATTAGGAGAAGAATTCTGTCACTGGTTCTTTGAACTTCTTAATTCTCAGAATCCTTTTCTTGGACCACCTCGAGATGAATGGGGGCCACAGCACTTCTGGCATGATGTTAAGCTTAGGTTTTATTACAAAACATCTGAACAGAATGTGATAGACTACCAAGGAGCAGAAATTGTGAGCCTTCGTCTGCTGTCACTTGTGAAAGAAGAACATCTTTTTCTCAGTCCCAACCTTGATTCCCACGGATTGAAATGTGCTTCTTCTCCCCATGGACTGGTTATGGTTGGAGTTGCTGGGACTGTCCACCGAGGAACTACTTGTTTGGGCATTTTTGAACAAATTTTTGGACTCATCCGCTGCCCTTTTGTGGAGAATACTTGGAAAATCAAATTTATCAACCTGAAAATTATTGGGGAGGCTTCCCTTGCCCCTGGAACATTAATGAAACCAGCTATTACATTTGAACCAAGTGATCTGGAGGCCTTTTATAATGTAATCACTTTCTGTGGTACCAATGAAGTACTACATAATGTAAGGCAGGTGAATAGTGGAACTGGAGACCAAACTTTACGCAGGAAATGAGGCATTGTTGAACAAAAGAGAACTGAGTTTCAGTAATCCTCCAAAGCATTGAGCACTGTGTCAGTCTATACAGATACTCTTCCAGATAGTACACTGACATATTTTAGCTGAAATATCTTTTTTGACTACAGACTAACACATGTGAATACCTGCCTCTTTCTACCTGAGCGCAGCAAATGTTCTGAGGGCTTAGTGCAGTTTATCAAATAAATCCCACTTTAGATGTTACAAACACTGTGCCTTAGAAACCAGATAATATTTTCACTGTATTCTGCTAATGTGGGTACTTTTCATGTGGAAAGGGAGTGATGGTGTTCAGGGCTTCTTCCCCTTTTCAAGTTTCTTTTAACAATTTGGATAATTTTACAAACACATCTCATGGATAGTATTTTTAAAATATGCAATTTTTTAAGAAGTGCATATTTTAGAGATGTTTTATATAAAATCAAAATTCTTTAGAAGACTTCAGTGACATTCATATGCAAAGGGTTTAGTAATTTAGCAGATGTAGAAAAATTTTCTTTGCATTTTTAAAATTTGAGGAACATATTTCAAAGTTACCTACTGTAGTCCAGTTAAATATCCTACAACCTGTAGTATTTTCTGAAATATTTTGGGCAATAAGTGCTGTTCTCAAAACAGACATCATCTAAGGCTTTAACAGTTTTATGGAGCATTTATTGTAACACCTACAAAAGAAACATGCTGTTGGAATTTTTGAAAAGGTGTGCCCTGTTCCTTGTAATTGAATTACTGTTTTTCCTCTTACTTGATCTATAAAAAACTATAATGTAAGGAATATACTCCCTCATCATAATTTGTTTTATTAGGTTTGAGTTATGAGGTTAAAGTTGACAAATTAATTACATAGTTGGTTTAAAATTTAAATTTCTCATCACCCAACAGCTATTTACTGATCCTGGATTTTGTAATTCATTTCCAAAATGCCATTTGGAAAAAATTTTAACTGGGAAATACTGCGATTATGTATTGTACATGCTGTCTTTTTGCCTTTAACTCTGCTCATGATCATCAGGGTAACTGAAAAGAATTTTGCGGGCAAGAGGAAAACACTCTTTTTTTTAATGCCATGCCTCTTATGGGGAGTACAAATTGATATGTCCTAAAATAAAAACTTAATAAAGGAGGGAATTCTCTTTTGTCTTCTATTAGAATAGTGTATTGTTTAGATTTAAAGCTAAATTTTCTTTTTCTCTAAGCCAGAAATATCATTGTAACACATAATTGCATCTGCAATTTGTAAGTTACTGAATCAAGTGCAAAATAAAATAATCCATTGGTAGGTAGGCCCTTTGCAGAAGGATTCAATATTAACCTTTTATGTGGTCAGAAAAACAGAAAACATTTGATTGAAATTTTAAATCGATATATGGTTCTAGCTAAGTCATATAGATCTTATTAATACACGATATAGGATATTTTGACAGACCACTTTTATTTATAGAGTTGGAAGGAAAATATTTAGAATTATATCAGAGTGCACTGAATCCTATTAGCTTTATTTTTCTACTTTGAGCCTTTCCAATAGTCTTTCAGTAAAAAGTATTAATATTAAAATTGTGATTTTGCAATGAGTTATAATGTACCTCAAAATATTAAGCCAGAATTGCTTGCGTTCGAATAACTGTCCTAGAATTTGGTACCTCCTAATCTCTGTTTCCAGTACTGCCAAATTTAATTTCCCTTTTTAGTGAGTCATTTGGTGAGGATTCTTTAATTAGCATTTTCCAGACACCCTAAATCTTAAATATGGTATTTCATTTGAATTAATGAATTAAGGATTAAAAAAATCCCTGTGTCCCCCAGCCATCTGTGTTACTTGTCCCATCTGATGTTTTCTTAACAAAAAATTAATAAATAGAAAAGCCAGTTTCCTGGAATCATTTAGTTGCATAAATTTGCATTAATCTTTTTCATCTCCCATCTTTTACTATACTGATGTTTAGTATAAACAAGTATCTTAAACGGTTACATGTAAGTTACTTTTGCCTTCTTAGTAGATGGTAAATTCCTAGAACTGGTGATTCTTAATTATTTTCACAATCTTCCCCTGTGATTGCACAGGGTAAACTAAATTTTGGGTGATTGATATGCTTGCTACTTTCCCTTGCATATTGTGTTTATTATTTACTCCTGTGGACAGCTAAATGCAGTAGATACCATTGTACTTTTTTTTAACCAAAAAACAAGTAACTTCTCAGTTTTTGGAGCTAATGGTAGAGCCTAGTTTTAAACTCGGGTATTAGAACCTCAGAACCTTGTTGTTAGCTACTATATATATATTGCCTCTTATATGTAGTAAGTTTTTAATGAACCCTTTTTGACTGGTTATGTTCAATATGAAGGTTGTCATTTGCTGGCACCTATTGCCAAAGCATAGATGCTTTTACTTTGTATTGCTTATTTAAATACAGAGTAGGAGTGTCAATGCATATATTGCATTGATTATAATTATTGACTGTAATTATACCACTTAAGTTGCTCATTTAGTTATTTTAAACCTCTGGGACAATAGTTACATATGGAAAAGAATAAAAGTAATGGGTAATATAAAATAATATTAAAATATACATAACAGTATAAATTTCTTCAGCTCACTCTCACAACACATTCTCTGGTCCTCTTCCTTCCCTGCTAGTGATACTGTTGTGCTTTCAGCCTCAGTTAGTCTTTGTTTCATGCATTCCATTTCTTGCTGTGTCTGGATGTAGAATATCTACAGTATTATTTTCTATTTCAGCTGCTATAATTAGACTCTCTATACATAAACCAAGACTTATTTTAATATAGTTTTTGCTTTAACACGTGTTACATGTCTGTGACATTAAAATTCCCTTAAAGTACAGCTTTCATCGTATCTTTCATGCTTCGGGCTTTCAGTAGTGCTGCATTACCTTCAAAATAAAGACGTGATTTAATAATCTGGTTTTCATCACCATCTGGGTTTGATTCCACTCATTTTCACACATTGTATGATCCAACATCTACTGTGTAGTCTTTGTATTATCCTGTACAATTTTGTTGGTGCAGCAGTCAAATATATTGTAGAAAGAGATGAATTATGATTGAAATGGAGTTTAACAACTGGAAATGTCAATAAGTCTAGCATTTTTTCTCTAGGAATTTTGTGTACATGGTCTGTTTAGAATAATCGTTCCCCAGATATTTGCATGGCTGCTTTATTTTCACTTTGAGAATTGGGCTTAAATGTTTCCTCCTCTCAGACCAAGTGGACCCACTTGTTACTTTTATCAGAGCACCTTGTTTGTTTCAGTTTCAGCACTTAGATACTCCTAATTTACTGATTTAGTAATCTCCCCGTTGGATTTTAAACTAAGAGCAGGGACTGTAACTGTTTCATTGTTTCCATTGCTTTGCATAGACTTGGTATTCAATATTTATTAAAGATAAAAATAAGGGGACAAACGCTCCTGTTTATTCAGAGCCTTTTATATTCCTAGTCCTATGCCTATCTGCTACAGACAATGCCTAGCACATATTTTAGATGCTCAATGAATGTTTGTTTAATGAATAAAGCCAAAGTTATTTTCCTGAATATACCAATGTACATGAATTCTAATACAATCAATGTTAAAGTTTTATGCTGTTGTAAGAGATGAAGAAACCGAACCCCCCTCCCCCCCCATTAAGTAATGTGCTGAAGTTTACATAGTTATGTGGCGATGTTTTCCCTGGGCTTTTTGTTTTATTTTTCAACTACAAAGATATTTCTAGTGTGACTACTGCAGCTACCTTAATTTGAAAGGATTTATACTCTAATCCTCTATTTCTTCACACATAATGAACCAATTAGATGAGATGAGTTTTAAAGTCTGATTTTGAGGTTACATGGTTTTGTGATTATATGTCTTCTCAGCAATTTAAGAATTTTACTTTTAAAGGACACTTGTAGCCCTGGCCAGTTTGGCTCAGCGGTTAGAGCATTGGCCTGCGGACCAGAGAGTCCCAGGTTCGGTTCCTGCTAAGGGCATGTACCTCAGTTGCGGTTTGTCCCTGGCCCCGGTTGGAGTGTGAGAGGCAACCAGTTGATGTGTCTCTCTCACATCTATGTTTCTCTCTCTCTCTCTCTCTCTCTCTCTCTCTCTCTCTCTCTCTCTTCCTCCCTCTCTCCCTCCCACTCTATCTGAAGATAAATGCAAAAATGTCCTCAGATGAGGATAAAAAAAATAAAGAATAAAAATAGAGGAGATTTATAGTTCACTGTTGAGGAAATTTTTTATTATTTTGCTTCCTCATCATACTCTTTGAAAAACACTTCTCATTCTTTGTTTTTTTCTAACATAAACATTTTAAGTGTATGTGTGTAGTGTGTATTTCTATTTATAGGAGGAAAAAAACAAAAGGATGAAAATATTACACATCAAAGGGAAAAAAAGTATGAATCCATTAAAATATTTTTCTATTTTCTTTTTTTTTTTTTTTTTTTTTTTTTTTATCCTCACTCGAGGACATTTTTCCATTTTTTGTTCAGATAGAGCGGGAGGGAGAGAGAGGAAGAGAGAGAGAGAGAAACATCGATGTGAAGGGACACATCGAGTGGCTGCTACCCGCACGACCAACCAGGGCCGGGGACAAACTGCAACCGAGGTACATGCCCTTAGCGGGAACCGAACCCGGGTCTCTCTATACCGCAGGCCGACGCTCCAACCGCTGAGCCAAACTGGCCAGGGCTATTTTTCTATTTTCTAATCACTAGAAATCCTGACGTTGTTTGAAACTATCATCCTGTAAAACTTTTTTGCTTTGTTGCATATGTTCAAAACATATTGCCATGTTTTAGTCAAGAAAAGAGCAAAGTGTTTGACAGAAGGTCAAATTATAGACTGCCAGTAATCTTTAGTAAAAATAAAGATGTTACTAAAATCAAATATACATGATTTCTTCAAAGAGAATAGGAGCTAGCAGATATTTAAGAGTGACACCAGAGACAAGTGGGAGATTTGGACAGGGTTCTTTGTAGGAAGGATGGCATGGGATGGGTCTTGCTCATAGGCCATTGAGATAATTCTAGGAATTTTACACAAACACTTATTTAGCAGATGAGGTTTGGCTGTGCTGACTCACTGGAGTACCACAGCTTTACAGCAGAATCGGTGCAGAGGGCACAAGCAAGACAGCAAAAGGCTTGCTATGCATGTCAGGGGCTTTACCACTGGAACTAGCAGAACAGGCACAAAATCCTTAGGACACACTTTACAGACTCCTAGGAGTTAAGAGAAATTGCAGAGTGAGCCATAAGTTTAATTCTAAAAGCAACCTTAAACTACAAGAGTTTAGGACTAAGAAAAAAGTTTGTTTTAAATAATGTATCAGTGTTTCCTTTTAAACGTTCTTTCAATTTGGTAAACATTTATGGAGCACCATAAAATACCAGGTATTTTAACAGATGATATTTGGTACATAAAGTAGCTTTCTTGTAGTTTCTTAAACTTTTCTCACTTTGCTTAACTTATATAAAGCAATGCTTACTGTTTAATAAAGAGTTTATTTTATTAGAAAGTGCTTCTCTGTGCTCTCTCATTGATGCCCCTGTTATTACTTCAACCATTGCCATCATTTGGTCTTTAATCTAAATTGTAGGTAAATCCTAATGCTGCCAAAACAATGGTGCTCTTTGGTAAACAGTTTGGCAGTTTCAGAGAGGGAAAACATGGGCTGAAACATTTTTTAAAAAAATATAAAGCATATATTTTGACAATTCTATGCACATAATTCACATTTTGCAAATTTCAGAAGTAAGATGATTTTTATAATGACTCACTAAGTTAACAGTGTTATATTCTTAGTGTACAAGCAATAGTGCTTATGTACTTGACAAGGACAGTGTTGGTCAGCTGCCTCTGCCAACATGAAGTTAGCATGGTGTTCATCTTCAGTAATGGACTTCCCCATCAGTTTTCATGTTGGTTAAATTTGCATTTTATGGTTGATACTCATTTCTTTAATCCCCAATCACAAAAATGACTCACTGAAAAATGATTAAAATAGTAAGAAATACCACCATTAATCAAATACCATAATATAAGTAATAGAAAGAATTTCAGTGTGAATGCAAAATTAGAATGTGTATGTGTAAGAGATTCTGAGTGATATTTTCAAAATCAACTTAACTATATAAGGAAGGACAGTGATGAATATCTGAACTTCTTTTTGGCCTGCAATCTGTTTACCACTGGCCAGTGAGTAGCACATGGCCTGTCAAATATTTGCATATTGCTGTCAAATTTTTCACATCTGGTAAAGAAATTTAGTTAGGTGATTTTATCTTTCCTGAACAAGTGTCAAGTAATAGATCTTAGCTTAAAATCTTTTATACAAGGTGGAGAAGAGTCCAAAATTACAAGTGTCATCCAGAGTTGCATTCTTTAAAATAAAACCAAGTATGAAACACTGTTACCAGTTTCTGTTCCAGATATTTGCCACACATAGCACACTGAGCACTTGATGGCAGGAAGCTACCTCACTTCACATTAGTCACTGGTGTCCCCTCTTTAGATCATTACTTGGACACTAAGACATTTTAACATCTCTTGTCTGAAAGATTATCTCCATTTTTCTGTGTTTCTTGTGTTGGGTCATCGGATGTAATCCTCAGAAATAAAGCATGCTAGCCTCTGCCAACTATGAAGCAATTTGTTACATATGGGTCTGAATTTGTAGACTATGTTCAAATATCAAATAAATCTATATCAAAGTAATAATAATTAAAAAAAGACACTGTTGCCATTGCCAAGAAACTTGTAAAAACACTCTCAATGTTAGTAACATATATAATCAGAACAGTCAGAAAACAAACCTATTAGAAAAGGTCTATCAAAGAGGAAGTTGCCTAATCCAGTAATAACATGGAAGAGTAGTTCCTATTACATGTGTCCTAAAGGATTTTTTTTTTTTAATTTAGAAAGTTACAGAGGTAGTAGAAGTGAGCCATAGAAGAAATGTGCTCAGGAAACAAGTTACAGAGGCAAAGCAGGGCCCTTGGAGCTTGGAAGAGAAAGAGAGGGAAGGAGAGAGAGGAGAGCTTAGTTTGAAACATTTTCAGTGCTGGAATAAAAAATACTAAAAATACTTTGTTTTTCTTTGTTGATTTTAGAGAAAGAGAAAGGGTGAGGGAAACAGAGACAGAAACATCCATGAGAGAGAACATCAATTGGCCGCCTCCTGCATGCCCCCCACTGGGGATCAGGCCCACAACCTGGGCACGTGCCCTGACCGGGAATTGAACTGGTGACCTCTCAGTTCATGGGTGGATGCTCAACCACTGAGCCACACCAACTGGGTGAAAAATACTTTTTAAA